AGCCAAACATTCTTGGCCATTAAAGAGGCAAAAAGTGCCTTTGCAGGGAAAATCAACAGCCACTTCATGGTCTCAGAGGACACACAGTGCATGTGGCAGGGAATGCAATCGATCACTAGCTACAAACCAAAACGTCACACCTGCAGCAGTGAGGTCACCCTGCCAGATGCATTGAACAACTTCTATGTACATTATGAGGCACAGAGCAGGGAGTTATGCAGAGTCGACCCGCGGAAGGCGGCTGGACCTGACAACATACCCGACCAGGTGCTCAGAGACTGTGCTAACTGATTGGCAGATGTCCCAACAGACATCTTCAATGTATCCCTGAGCACAGGAGTGGTACCTACATCCCTCAAAACAACCAGGATCATCCCAGTGCCCAAGAAGTCGACCATGTTTTGTCTCAATGATTACTGGCCTGGAACACTCATAGCCATCATCATGAAGAGCTTCGAGAGGCTGGTATTGAGGCACATGAAGGCAGACTGACATGAACTGTCAGACTGACTAGACGCCCTACTTATCGCCCAAACTGGACCAGATATGATGCCATTTCCACTGCCCTCCCCCTCACCCTCTCATACATGGACAGAAAGGACAGCTATGTCAGAATGCTGTTCATTAGCTTCAGTTCAGCATTTAACACAATCATCCTGCAGAGGCTGGTAGGGAAGCTGAACCTGCTGGGCATGAACACCCCCCTCTAACTGGATCCTGCACTTCCTGTCTGACAGACCTCAGTGTGTCTCCATAGGAAACAGCACCTCCAGGGCCCTCCGACTGAGCACAGGTGCCCCCAGGGCTGTGAACTCAGCCAACTGCTGTTTAATCTGCTCTCCCACCCATTATCTGTACAGGAAACATGTCATCCGCCATGCAAACAGCACTGAGGCAGACCCCTCCCACCCATCCCACAGACTGTTCATCCAATGCCACCTGGCAGAAGGTTCCAGAGCATCCAATCCATCACTGCTAGACACTGAAACAGCTTCTTCTCCTAGTCAGTCAGGGTTCTCACTACCCTGCTGTCTCAACAGCCTCCACACTTACAGGGAAGGAGGAAGAGCACAAGGGCCACAGATCTGCTACAGACAAAATTATGTATAATAATCTGAGGGAAGATGGTCAGACTGATGTAGAGAAACAGGCCCCAGGACAGCAGCCAGAGGGGCAGAAGTATCTTAGGCACCTACCAGTTCCAATACGGTGCCTTGGAGTCTCTCAACCAAGCCCAGCTGTTTGTTTATCCTAAGAAAAAACATACAGTTGTTATAACAGAGTTCAGAGGCCTGAGTATCACATTTTAAGTAAAATGATCCTATTTTTATGTGCTTCTTACTGATGCCCAGTATCACCTTAAATTTAGGAATTCCGGCAATTACATGAAGTAACAGAAGTAACTAAGGACATGATAGGGCTGTCACAATATCAGATTTTCACTACACGATTATCGTGGGCAAAGGAATTCATGATTTATGGTATATATAGAAAATGTTCATGAAATAATTATAATAATGCTACCAGTCAAATTAAATTTCTTTATTTTGTGTTTTGTCTTTTTTTGGCCAGATATGAGTGTAGTGAGACAGAGAGTCTGTAACCATAACTATATAAAAACATAGGAAAAGAGCAATTATACTACACAGAGAGTGAAAAGACAATCAGGACTAAAGCTCCCTTTTGCACTTCCTGCTGATCAGCACTTCCTGCAGACTGGGGTGTCTAACATACCATCTTTATTATGATATTCTGTAGGGACTCCATTAATATTTCTTTTAACAACATCAGGTTCATTTTACAGACTGTGTGTAATTGATCTCCACTAGATATTTAGCCAGATATTCTGATGTTGGATTCTTTCTGTTCTCTGTCTGTTTAATAAAAGTTCTGCATAGTACCTGCACTTTTCCTTCAGTGCGTGTTTATGGGTCTCGTTAGGTGCCCCAGTCACAGTGGGGTGACCATATGTGTCCCTGAAAACTGCCACTATTATGCTGCAGCAAAGTCTGATGCCAACAGGACAAACAACTAGAGGAATGTATTTTTTCCAATTTTATTTCCTGATCCCACTGCTAGCTTGCAGCCATTTAGAAAATAAAGTAATATTTAACAAATTGGATATTTAGATAACACTGCTGATCCAAAAACTGGAAATTGACAGCTGGAGTGAACAAATCGATATTTCATTTTTGAAATATCACAGTTATTGTCAATATACTATGACAGCCCTCGTTCCCATACAGCTGAATATTTAACACATGGTGACACTCATTTGTAACATATTTGCCTGGTGACTCAGTGGGTGACACTGGCACCTCACGCCCCCCGGCTTGGGCTCTGTGTAGTTTGCCTGGTGACTCAGTGGGTGACATTGGCACCTCACGCCCCCCGGCTTGGGCTCTGTATAGTTTGCTTGGTGACTCAGTGGGTGACACTGGCACCTCACGCCCCCCTGCCTTGGGCTCTGTGTAGTTTGCGTGGTGACTCAGTGGGTGACACTGGCACCTCACGCCCCCCGGCTTGGGCTCTGTGTAGTTGGCATGGTGACTCAGTGGGTGACACTGGCACCTCACACCCCCCGGCTTGGGCTCCGTGTAGTTTACATGCTGACCAGCGTCTCTAAATGCCCCATCGTATGTGAATGTGTGTGTTTGCCCTGTGATGGACTGACATCCTGCCCAGGGTGTCCCTGCCCTGTGCCCTGTGCTTCCTGTGATGGGTTGATGGATGGAGATTTTTTTTTTTGTACGTTGATACCCTTCTATCAAAAAATGTCTTGTACATGTACTTCTTAAATGTCTACTTACTTTTATTTTTTATCCAACCCTGTAATAAAAAAAGATACAATTAACTATGTTGGAGCTCAAAATACTATGTTATAAGAAATGATAATGTGTAAGCATCATAGCATCAGCATCATAAAGGAAGACGAGAACAGCCCAGAAGAATTTAAGCAGCATTGTTATGAAATGTAACGTCCTGAGTCACACCGTATAGTGAACAAATAACCATGTGGTTATAAATGTAATATTCATATCTCCGTTATACTTACAGTATGCAGACATCTCTGTAACAAACCAGCTAAAGAGGAAGACAGACCCAGAAATCAGGACAATCAGCCGTAGATCCAGTGGCTGTTTTCCTGTGTCTGAAATGACATGATCACAAAAATCACTGAGAACTGAGGTCAGTAAATGAACAGTAAGTGACAGATATTACACCACAGGAATCTATATTTTTTCCTAAAGGGTTTGTACAATTTAGCTGTATGGTTACGTTTACATAGTAAAAGTAAAACATCTCAAATTTTTAGTGTATTTACCTGCTTTGAGTTTTAATGCTACAGCCAGGGCAACAGAATTCAGGAGAGGGAAAGCAAAAGTCCCTGAGAAATATACATATTTACGGGGTTTGGCTGAAAGGTAGAGAGAAAAACATTAGTCATACAGATACATACAGCACTGTGATGAAGTATTTGCCCCGATTCCCTCTATTTTTAACATCCATAACACTTAAATGTGTCTGATAACAAAACAAATTTAGTATAGTACAAAGAACACTCTAAGTGCACAACACAGTTTTTAAATGATCATTTGATTTACTGAAGGAAGGAAAAAAAACCTAAAAATAAAATAAAAAAACAACCAAATATTCACAAACACCCATATCACCTGTGTGACAAAGTAAGTTCCCCCCTTTGGCATCGCTGTGGAGAAATTTTGACCCACTCTTCTCTATGGGATTGTTTCAATTCAGCCACATTGGGAGGTTTTCAAATATAAACTGCCCATTTAAGGTTCCGCCCCAATATTTCAATGAGGTTCAAGTCAGGATTTTCACTCTACAAAACCTTAATTTTGTTTTTTCTTTTCAGCCATTCAGTGGTGGACTTGCTCTTGTGCTTCAGATCATTGTCCTGCTGCATAACCCAAATGCGCTTCAGATCACAGACTGATGACTGACATTCTCCTTCAGCACTTTCTGGTAAACAGCTGAATTCATGCTTCCCTCAGTTACAGCAAGTCGCCCAGGCCGGGCAGCAGCAAAGCATCCCCACAGCATCACTCTGCCTCCACCATGTCTGACTGTGGCCATGATGTTCTTTGTGTGGAAGCTGTGTTAGCTTTACCCCAGATGTAGTAGGACCCATGTCTTCCAAATAGATCCACTTCTGACTCATCAGACCACAGAACATCCTCCCAAAAGTGTTGGGGCTAATCGAGGTGCTTTTTGGCAAATCTTAGATGAGTCTCCATGTTCCTCTTATTTAGCTGTTTTCTAACTTGCATCTCTCCCATGGGCACCATTATAGCCCATTGTCTTTATAATCATGGAATCGGACATTAACTGAGACCCGCAGTTCCTTAGATCTTAGTCTGTGGTCTGCTCTAGCTTCTCTGATGAGGTTTCTTTCTGTTCTTGGAGTAATTCTGTTAGGCCGGCCACTCCTGGGCAGATCTGCCACGGTTTTCTCCATTTGGAGATGATGGCTCTCATGGTGATTCATTGCACTGCATTTTAGAGAGTGCTCTGTGCCCCTTTCCTGACTGATATATTTCAATGATTTTCTTTCTCAGGTCTTCAGGAAATTCTTCTGATTGAGGCATGGTCTGCTGCTTCTTGAGACCCTTATCCAGCTTCTCATTACTGCAATGGTTCTATTTAAGTGATGTGTAGGTTCATCAGGACTGGTAGCAATCAAGCTTGGGTGTGTCTAGTTTTATTTAACCCATTGTTATGTATGAACCTGAAAATATGTTCTTAAGGGTTCTACCAGTAGATGGCGCAAAGCAAATGTGCATGTGTAAGTCGTAGCGTTCTGGTTTGCATAAAATAAAAGAAGCACTGTGCGAGTGCGCACATTGACAACAACCGGTCTCTCCGTAGCTCTGTATGTAATGTGAAGTGTTGCTTTTAGGACACGAAAAGGGAGCAACATAACACCCATTATCATTTAGATTTGCTTTATTAGTTGAGTGAGTGACCAAATACTTTGTCACAGCACTATATATACAATAAAACAGCCATTGGGTATAATGTAATGCTCTGTTTACAAAATAAAAAATAAATAATAATATTTCATTTAAAATATAAAAGAGTATTCAATAAACAAAATATTTAAACAACTTCTCAATAAAAGTATTGTTTAAAAATAATTTTAATGTAAAACAAATACGTACCAAGCAAATGCTCCCGAATCCAGACTTGAAACAGCAATGTGACAGTTAGAATGTAGATGAACACAAACTCATAGATCTTTACAGGTCGTCCTATGGTCAGAATTAGTTGCAGTTAATTTCAGTTTCTAATACAACAAAGGTTATTAATGAAATAAACAGCTTCTTATCCCTCTAAAATCAGTAAATACATACAGTCAAAGTCAAATGTATGTGAACCCTTTGGAATTATCTGGTTTTCTGCATGAATTGGTCATAAAAAGTGACCTGATTTTCATCTAAGTCACAGGTACTGAAATGCAAAATGAGCAACAACACACAAAAAATTCTATTCTTTCATGTCTTTTTTATACAAACGCATTCGATGTTCATCGTGGTAGTGGAAAAAGTAACTGAACCTTTGGATTTAAAAACTGGTTGACCCTCCTTTGGCAGTAATGACCTCAACCAGGCGCTTCCTGTAACTGCAGATCAGACCTGCACATCGTGCGGGGGGAATTTTAGCAAAAGGCGGATTTTGTTCTTCTGAAACAATTGTGCTGTGGATTTGCTGCAATGTTTGGGGTCACTGTCCTGTTGCATCACCCAGCCTCTTCTGAGCAGTGGCGCCATCATGCGGTGGCCAGGGGGGGCATGGCCCCCCTGTTAAATTTGTTGCCCCCCCCCCCTCATCGGTCGCATATGCCAGATATGCTTCTATGTTTAATTATGCGTTTCAACAAATGCACGGTCAGCAAAGCGCTCTCCAGTCACACGGGGGGTGGGGGTGCTCACAGGAAGCAGCAGCTCAGCAGGTCTCTG